CTGCCAGGTTAAAGAGATGCTGCGTAATGGAGTCGTGTGGCCAAACAAAAGCCAGTAGAATGCACCGTTACTCGTTGTACCTAAAAACAGCGATGCATCGGGGAAGGTGAAATTTCGCGTGGTAATGGTTTTTGGACTCCTAAACGAGGTCACAATTCGGTGTTTCGTATGTCTTGATGAAGTCGTGATTTTTGGACCAGACTTACGAGGGCATAACAAGAGGCTGGGGGAAGTTCTACAGCGCTTGAGGAATGTGAACCTGAGACTTCAACCTGATAAATGCAATTTTTTGAAGAAAGCAGTTGTATACTTGAGGCACATAATCAATAAGGATGGGACCAAGGCAGATCCTAGTAAAATAAAGGCAGTACCAAATTTTCCAGTACCCCAGAATCAGAAGGAAATAATGTCCTTCTTGGGTGTAGCGGGTTACTATCGGAAATTGATTAAGGATTTTTTAAAAATCACTAAACCTTTGTCAGATTTATTGAAAAAGAATGTACCTCGGACCTGGGAAGGAAGAGAGCATAGTGCATTTGAAAACCTGAAGGAAACTCTAAATAGAGCACCAGTCCTACAGTATCCAGATTTCGAGAGGCCATTCCTGTTGACTACAGATGCGTCCAACAGGGCCATAGGAGCTGTCTCGTCACAGGAGAAGATAGGCATGGATCTACCAATTGCATATGTCAGCAGAACCCTCAATAAAGTAAAGCAGAACTATAGTATCATAAAAAAGAGCCATTGGCCATTGTGTGGGGAGTTAATCACTTTCGACCCAACTTATATGGACGGAACTTCACTGTAGTTACAGATCACAGTCCCTTAAAGTGGATATTTAACATCAAGGACCCAGAATCAAGGCTTGTACATTGGCGAATTAAACGAGAGGAGTATGAGTATGAGGTGGTAAACAAGCCTGGTAAATAAAATACCAACGCTGACGCATTGAGTCGAGTCAACATTGTAACTCGAGTGCAGGCAAAGACAGAGGCGGAGAGAGTAGTGAATTCGGATTTTGACGGCGGGGTCATTACACCTGCTGACGATGAAATTCTGGAAATACTACGAGAATACCATGACTAATAAAACGAATGTATTCCAAACTGAAACAAAAATATTATTGGAGGAGAATGAAATCTGATGTGCAGACATGCGTGGGAAACTGTGAGGAGTGTCAACTAAACAAGCTGGGAAAAGTCACGAAGATACCCGTGGTAATCGAAGAGAGCACTGAGACAGCCTTTGAACAATGCGCCAACTATATATGTCGATACATAGTTGGACCATTGCCTGTCACGAATGCTGGGAATAAGTACATCTTGACGTTGTAGGATGCTCTTACATAATTCAGCAAGACTATTCCTATCTCTGATCAAGAAGCCAACACAATTGGACGTGCTTTCGCAGAGAACATAATATGCGAATATGGCACGCACCAGAGGCTGCTTACGGATCACGGACCAAATTTCGTGGCAGAAATATTCAAAAACATCTGCAAACTTCTGAGAATTAACAAGATTCAGACAACGGCGTTAGCAGCGGGCGGCGGCGGCGAGTTTTAGCGGAGACCTGGTTGTTGGGGCCTAGGGGGGTTTGATAAAAGTAGATGGGTGGTTGATTAATTCGCGGATCAGCGATTTTAATTCGTGGGTCAGGTAATTTAATTCGCGGTTAGATTAGCAGGTCAATTAATTTGATTTGCGGTTTTTTTTCGGTCAAATGGAGCTCTATTGACGACTTGTCAATCCACCTCCCACGAGGGAGTGGGTGAAAGGGTTGATTACTTCGCGGGTCACCGTGTCGCGGTTTAAATCGTGGATCGATTAATTAATTCACGGTTCCAATTCGCGGGCCAATTAACTTAATTCGCAGTTTTCCAATCAAATGAGACTCTATCGATGACCTGGTCAATGCACCTACGTGAAAGGGTTGATTAATTCGCGGGTCTCAGTTTAATTAACGATCTGGTTCAAGGGTTAATCAATTAAATAATCCGCGGTTCATTGCGAAATTTGCAGTGTGATCCATAATTCGTGGTGTGCTCCGCAGATTGCGGTTTGATTCGTGGTTTAATCCGCGTATTTATTAATTAATTCAGGGTTTCGGACTCCGAGACGCTCTATCGACAACCTAGTTAATGTAATTAACGATAGGAAGTGTATGAAAGGATTAATTGATTCGCGCTAATTAATAAAATGATTAATTAATCAATCCATCAATTATGAAATTCATTAGCAGCGACCTTGTGAAAGGGCCATACGAGAGGGCTGGGTGGGTGGAAGGCTTAATTAATCCGCGGTTGATTACGTAATTCGCAGTGACATCCGGGGGTCGCGGTTTGATTCGCAGATTAATTCCGCAGATCACGGCTAAATTCGAGGGTCGATTAATTAATTAATCAATTAATTAATTAGTACACCCGAACTTCTCAGCACACTGCCGCGAGGGGTGAAAGGGTTAACTAATTCGCTGTTTTAGTTTGGTGTAGAAATCATAGAACGGGGTCTTCTTCGAACATTGACACCTGGCTCCACTTGACATTTTCCAGACATGTCTGAACTTGAGTTTTCCGGTGCTTTCTCGTTTGCCGCTCCCCTTCGTGTGAAATTGTTGTTGATAACGATATCAACATATAAATATTTATTTTAAAAAACATTTTCCAGACATGTCTGAACTTAAGTTTTCCCGTACTTTCCTGTTTGCCGCTCCCCTTCGGATTTTCCCTTGGGAAATCATTGTTAATAATGATATCAATATGTAAATATTTATTTTGAAAAGAAGGGTTCAGAAGGGGAGGGAGTATGTATATATGCAAAGAATTTTCGCCTGAACTGAAAATTATCAGTCCTTTGATGGTTACCGCTCCCATTTCGTAGAAACAAACGTTATTAATAATAATGTAAAAAAATTATTTATTGAAAAAAAGAAAGGTTTAGGAGTGGGGGATTTATGTATATAAACGAAAGAATTCCTGCACCCATCATCAGTTCATCTTGTCGCTCTCCATGAAGGACAGCTTTAAACGACAGGAATTAAAGAAACGTTTAGACGTCCTGAAAAATATTCAAGAAGTGAAACAAGTTATACAGTTCCGAAGTAACATCAAAATACTCTGCTCCGATCTGCAGAAGATTCAAATTTAAACTTAATTATCATACCCACGTGAAAAAAATCATTATGGATTTCAACAAGATCAATATTGTGATGCAACTGAAAAATCTTCCTCTTTTCAAACTGGTGGATCTGCAAGCTGGAGCCTTTTATATCATCACTGCAGCTCGCAAGGTGGAGAAAAAGTATGGAGTTGGTGTTATTCTTCATCTCTCAAACACGCACTCAGTTTTCGTAAATAATCGACTGGCCAAGTATTTCGCTGAAAATCCCAAGATGGTCGAGAATTTCCAACAACATATTGAAAAGGACTCACCAACGTTGGAATATTTAGGTGGAAAATACAACAATCTTCGCCTACATCCTGATTTAAATGTGAAAATTGAAAATGAAGCAGATGAAGCAAATTTCAATGTGATGCTATTGCAGACTTCAAATAACTTCCCTTAGTGAACATATCTGAATTGGAATGCAACTATTTATACACCATCACAGCTGCCTCCAAAGTTGATACCACATATGACGTAGGCGTCATTCTGCATTTGTCAAATACCCATTCGGTTTTTCGAATAGCCGATTGGCCAAATTTTTTAATGATAATCCTAAGGAATTTGAGAATTTTTCCAATCATATTGAGAAGGGTTCACCAACGCTACAATACTTGGGTGAAGGATCTGACAGTACCCGTATACAACCTGATCCGAACGGGAAGGTTGAGGATGAAGCACATCGCGCTAATTTCGACAAAATCAATTCTGAATTGAAAGAACTTCCTCTACTGTAATTATCTCAACTTGCCTTGAACTGCTTGTACACCATTACTGCAGCCTTCAAAGTCAAGACAAAACATGAAATAAGTGTGATTCTTCATTTAAATAATGCTTATTCAGTTTTCCTGAACCGACGGAAGTCCAAGTTTTTCATTGATCATCCTAAAAAAATTGAATGTTTGCTGAATGAAATCAAGAAAAGCGCACTAAAGTTGGAACACTAAAGTTGGAACACTAAGTAGGTGAATACAATGAAATCAAATTCCATGCAGAGGATAAAGGGATTGTTGCTTAAATTACAAATTAAGTCGAACAATATTTTCCTTTTTTTCCTTTATCGGTATTTTTTTTACAGAATAATTTTTATGATTATAACTAATGGAATAGTGTATAAAAAATACATGAATAGATATAATAATTAAACTTATTTTATGTGTTTGTGTATATTTTTTCTTAAGAATTATAACATTTAACACAACCCCTTATCATAGGTGGTGGTCCATCGAAAGTTTCACCCTCGACAGTTTGATAGTGCTCCAACCAACGTCTACATCTCTTGATGTACCAATCAGCTCTCATAGCATCAGTCAACTTGTCCCAAGCCCGATCAACATTAGATGCGGCAATCGAATTTATGAATGAATGTGGCAGATACGCAATATTTTAACAATCCATTAAATCCAAATTGTTTAGTTCATAGTAAACGTTGAAGGATCGATCAACTGATCGTACAATTGTTCTCTATCAACCAGTTTTATCTTGTTCTCTGTATAACGATGGAAAGGACAAGTGTGAGCTGGTGATTCTTTGAATTTAGTAAGCGAGAGACAATCAGTGTAATATTCTTCTATATTATTCATTGTGATGGCTTCCGTATGGATGCCGCGTCTATAATCAGCTTTTTGCCGATGTTTCGCAAACATTTCAGTCTGCATAATCAGGGCTAGGTTGCTCCGATACTGAATCTCCCCGTTGTAAAGAAGTCCTTATATCCCCCCTGAACAGTGGAGGGGATAGGTAAAGTGGTGGGGGATTATCCCAGCCAATCAAAATGTTTTTAATTGATCAGCTGGTCAATTAAAAAACCGGGAGGACGCCGTGCCAAATTGGATTGGTTTAGTATCCTCGATCCCCATTGAGATTGTTCGGATGTTTTTGGATCTCGAAAACTTCGCCATGTTTTCTGGCGAAATATCCTTGTGAGCTGGCAAGCATTTCTATCTTATCATATTGGATAGAGTATCGAGTGCCCATCCAATGTTCAGCCAGCGCAGATTGCGAGATATGGCCATTTTTTGCACACCGTTGATGTTCTTTGATCCTAGATCGTATACTGATCCTCCTCCCGGTTGCACCAATGTAGACTTTCCCACAAGAGGAAGGGATTTTGTACACCCCTGGGAGACTAAGTGGTGGTCTCCGATCCTTAGTACTGGCGAGCATTTGTCCAATATTCGTTGGTGGTTTGAAAATTGTCCTGATGTCATGCTTCTGTAGTACCTTGCTAATGCGATCGGTCTTACCTTGAAGATACGGGAGAGCAGCCGTTTTTTGATATTCTACTATATCAGCAGGTTCACTCTCAGCTGAGTGCTTGTTTTTCAGAGTGTGCAAAACACGGTAGACTTGTTTGCTCTGATATCCATTGTTATTCAATACTTTATCCAGGTGTTGAACTTCGGCTTCCAGGTATTCAGGCTGGGAAATAGTGAGAGCTCGGTACATAAGAGAGCTTATCACCGAGTTCTTTTGAGAAGGTTGATGGTGTGAGGAGGCATGGAGGTATCTGTCTGTATGTGTAGGATTTCGATAGACTCGGTGACCAAGCCTTCCGTCCTCAGTACGATACACTAGGACATCTAGGAAGGGAGGAGACTTCTGTTCCTCAATCCCCATTGTGAATTTTATGCTCGGATGTTGTGAGTTTATAAAATTCAGGAATTGAGGCAACATGTCTGCTCCATGTTTCCACAGGATGAAAGTGTCGTCGGATTTAAGAGGAGCTGATTTAAGAACTTTGTTTTCGAAATTTTCCGTAGAAATGTTTGCTATGATGGGAGAAATGGGTGAACCCATTGCTGCTCCGAATGTTTGTTCATAGAAGTCCCCTTGGAATTGGAAATAAGTGGAAGTCAGGTAGTGTTCAACCAGAGGGAGGAGTTTGGGTGGAATTTTTCGGGATTTTTTGATAATGTTAAGAGTGTCGGGAATGGGTACATTCGTGAACAAAGACTCCACATCAGTGCTAAGCAAAAGATCTCCTGGACTAGATTGAATGTGAGACACTTTGTTCACGAAGTTTTGGGAGTTTTTGATGTGGGAACTATTCTGACCCACGAGGGCTTGGAGTGGTTTGGTCAGATAGCGAGCTAATTGGTACGTGGGGGCACCAATATTGCTCAGTATTGGACGAAGAGGGATAGTCTCTTTGTGAATCTTTGGGAGACAGTAAAGTCTGGGAGAGAAGAATTCTCGGAGACTAAGGATTTTTTGGGTTTCGGGAGAGAGATCAGCTTCCTCCAGAAGTTTGCCAGACTTCCTCTCCATGCCTGAGGTTGGATCCGTACTGAATATTTTTATAAGGATAGCTTCTCCATGGAGGCGTTTAATTTGAGTTTTGAGGTTATCGCGGCCAATATTATTATTAATTATGATGGCTTTTTATATATATTCGAATTGCTCCACAAGGCTTCGATTTTATCAGAATAAGCTTCCTTGTTCATGACCACAGTCGCATTAACTTTGTCTGCTGGAAGGATGACAATATTGTCATTATTCTTAAGACTGAGTCAAGCTGAGCGTTCCTGCGTAGTAATATTTTGTTTGGGAGGTTTCGCTTTTTGGAGGATATTGGACAGCTTTCTTCTGATCTCATTGCCAGTTTCCGAAGGCAGATGGAAGATTGCCGTTTCCGTCTGGCTGATGATCTCTTCGGTGGGAATTTTGCTTGGGACAACTGGGCCTCTGTTAATGGGAAACTGCTGAGATTCTTGACTGTATGTGTCAAGACTTTCGGCTTGGAAGGAAGGACCAGTTTCTCAAACTGTGCCTTCTGCTTTTTTGTTCGCAACTCGGCGGAATGGATAGCTTGTTCATATGTAATACGATCAAGCGTGCTCCATACCTCAGGTTCCAGAGAACTTGAAAGAATCAGGTGAAGTTTGAGAATCTGTTGGGAAGTCTGAGCTAGGATGTTCTTGGTTGCACAGATTCTTTCCCGGATCAATCTTAGTGAGGCTTGTCGGAGAATTGAGTGGCCTGCTGAGATGGAAAAGGGTTCTTCAATTGAAAATATTTCGGTACCACTTGATGGTCGCAGCACCTTTTTGAAAATGCTAGAGAACACAGATGGATGTGCAAAGACTTTCTAAGCTTAGTAAACAAGTTTACAGAGCCAAGGATAGCTTCTCCGTGGAGGCGTTTAATTTGAGTTTTGAGGTTATCGCGGCCAATATTATTATTCATTATGATCGCTTCCGGATGGATGCCGTGTCTAGATTCAGCTTTTTATCGACGTTTCGCAAACATTTCAGTCTGCATCATCAGGGCTAGGTTGCTCCGATACTGAAGCTCCCCGTTGTAAGTCCTTATATCCCCCTGACCCATGGAGGAGGTAGGTAGAGTGGTGGGGCGTATCCCAGCCAATCAAGATGTTCAATGAACAAACACTCGGAGCAGCAATGGGTTCACCTATTTTTCCCATCATAGCAAACATGTTTATGGAAGATTTCGAAAACAAAGTTCTTAAATCAGCTACTCTTAAACTCTCTGTTTGGTTCAGGTACGTTGACGACACTTTCGTCCTTCAGAAACATGGGAGCAGACACGTTGCCTCAGCTCCTGAATTTTATCCACTCACAACATCCGAGCATAAAATTCACTATGGAGATTGAAGAACAGAAGTCTCTTCCCTTTCTATATGTCCTAGTGCATCGTAATGAGGACGGAAGTCTTGGTCACCGAGTCTACCAAAAGCCTACACATACAGACAGATACCTCCATGCCTCCTCACACCATCACCCTTCTCAGAAGAACTCGGTGATAAGCTCTCTTATGTACCGAGCTCTCACTATTTCCCAGCCTGAATACCTGGAAGCCGAAGTTCAACACCTGGATAAAGCATTGAATAACAATGGATAGCAGAGCAAACAAGTCCACCGTGTTTTGTACAGGCTGAAAAACAAGCACTCAGCTGGGAGTGAACCTGCTTATAAAGTAGAACATCAGAAAACGGCTGATCTCCCGTATCTTCAAGGTACGACCGATCGCATTAGCAAGGTAATATAGAAGCATGACGTCAGGACAATTTTCAAACCACCAACGAAAATTGGACAAATGCTCCCCAGTACTAACAATCGGAGACCACCACTTAGTCTCCCAGGGGTGTACAAAATCCCTTGCTTTTGTGGAAAAGTGTGAATTGGTGAAACCGGGAGTCGGAAAAATGGCCATATCTCGCAATCTGCGCTGGCTGAACATTGGATAGACACTGGACACTCTATCCAATATGACAAGACAGAAATGCTTGCCAGCTCACAAGGATATTTCGCCAAAAATCATCACGAAGGTCTCGAGATCCAAAAACATCCGAACAATCTCAATCGGGATCGCGAATACCAAACCAATCCTATTTGGCACACCCTCCTTCCGGTTTTTTAATTGACTAGCTGATCAATTAAAAACATCTTGATTGGCTGGGATACCCCCCACCATTCTACCTACCCCCTCCAGAGGTCAGAGGGGATATAAGGACTTCCTTACAATGGGGAGCTTCAGTATCGAAGCAACCTAGCCCTGATGATGCAGACTGAAATGTTTGCGAAACGTCGGGAAAAAGCTGAATGTAGACATGGCATCCATCCGGAAGCCATCATAATGAATAATAATATTGGCCGCGAAAGCCTCAACACTCAAATTCTTCTATATTCACTGCCAGTGGTGCTAATACTGGACCAGAGATTTTTTTAACCACACTTTTTTATCTTGACCTTTCACATGAATTTGATCAATATTGTCCCACTGTTGCAATAATTGTTCAATTCCATCATATGATATATTTCCATAGTTCCAAAGTATTCCGTGATGATGACGCTCGGGCCACAGATTCACACCTCTATACTTCTGTGTTAAACTCCATAATGCCGATGGGGGGCTGAAAAAACATACTGTTAGATATTCAACTGCAGAATTCAAAACTGTGTACGCAAACTCCTTTACGATGAACTCGTTGAAGAGCGTTTCTTGTACGTCCACAGGTACCTCAATTGTGATTGATAAAATATTACTGTTGACATGTGATTTTATATCCCCCCCCCCTTCAATTTCCTTTCCTTAGACTCCTTTTCTCACTCCTCCGCTCATCGGGTTCTAATGTACTACTCGATCGTGCAAAATGAGATAATAAGCCGCAGTCTCCGGAGAGAAGCTTATATTCGTTTCAAACTCCGGGCGGACATCCACAGGTTTAAATTTTAAGGATTCATTTTATTTGGAGTAATTGATGACTATTAATGGCGTAATGGTGGCAAATTGTGATTTCGTTAATAATGGATTATTCTCTTGCTGATCATATCATGATGATTGAAAGTTTGAATACATGTCATATAGTATCGAAAACTGATTCTTGGTCATGTCTACATCCAAATTTCCATATGGATAATGTTGGGAATTTAGGAATAATTTAACATCGGCGATACTACAATGATCAAAATTGCTAGCTTTTTTTTATCGTTATTTTTTCGACCTATTTGGAGTTCTAGAATGACATAACGTGGTTTCTCAAGCTGAGTTGCGGTTTTCACCGTCCACACGTGTTTTGTTGTCGCTGGAAACATTGGATATTCAAATAATTTCCATGATCTGAAGCTCATCGATATTGCAGGGTCTTTCTGGATGAAATTCAGCAACTCAATTTTCTTAGTATCCGCTAATGTCACATATGGGATCAACCATTCAATTTTACTAACGTTGCTCTTCACATCTTCTTTTGCGGTTTGAATTAGAGCGTTATTATCATGACGAGCCCTAATCAAAACCAGCTCATGTTTCACATTGACCATAATTTTTCGATCATCTTCAGCATATCCCAGGAACTTAATTAATGGGATGGAAATAAGAAAACAACTATTTTTATCAGTTAAACTCATTTCTTCTTGAATGCCCAATCATCCAGCATTTTCTATTGAGATGCTTTGATTGGGTGTTAATGAGATGAGATTTTTCATGAGTGTAGTGATACACACATTCTTGACTTTATCAATCTCAATAGCATTAATTTCATACCGGATCACATGAAATAGATGACAAATGGCGTTATTCACAAATTTTGTAGTTGTAGAGACGGTGTCGTCTGATTTAAGCAATTTACCAGTGATGTGCAAGTAACTTTTGCTTGGCAAAATACAGAGATCCTGATTTTGTACAGTAATTCGAATTTCATCGCTATTATCCAGTGCTGTCCAGGCATATGGCTGATGTGCATGGATCTCATAGTGTGCGATGGAGTCCTCAAAGACCGGAGTGAGTTTTTGATATTCAGGCTTCCTTCCATGGTATACAACAGGCGAATAAAATTTTTAGTTGACAAAAACGTTTTTTCCACTTTTTCTTACGGCCAGACTGAGACTCCTGAGAAACTTCACGTTCTGAATTATTAACACCTTGAAGCCAGCACGCGAACTGATTAAAGCGAGGGATGATTGAGGGCTTTCATAGGAGTAGCCAATCTTATGATTATATACAATGCCCATGATTATGAAGTAGACTTAATGTGTGGCCTGATGGTAACTGTTTCACCGTGTTTAACTATAAATCGGTTATTGTTTTGACAGCCACTGGTAAATAAATAACTTGTGATGATACTTCTACAATTTTATATCCAGGGGGAACTACAGGAAAAGATTCACGAATTGTATGAACTTTATCACTGTTGTTGTATGCTCCAGTGGTGATACTACATTCAACTCGTAGAGCGTTCACTTTGAGAATGACTACAGGCTGATCAGACTGATGAGTTTTATTGGCCTCTAAAACTCTAGGGGTAAAACCGAGGAGACGACCGATCGAATTTGCAGGNCTTAGTATCCGCTAATGTCACATATGGGATCAACCATTCAATTTTACTAACGTTGCTCTTCACATCTTCTTTTGCGGTTTGAATTAGAGCGTTATTATCATGACGAGCCCTAATCAAAACCAGCTCATGTTTCACATTGACCATAATTTTTCGATCATCTTCAGCATATCCCAGGAACTTAATTAATGGGATGGAAATAAGAAAACAACTATTTTTATCAGTTAAACTCATTTCTTCTTGAATGCCCAATCATCCAGCATTTTCTATTGAGATGCTTTGATTGGGTGTTAATGAGATGAGATTTTTCATGAGTGTAGTGATACACACATTCTTGACTTTATCAATCTCAATAGCATTAATTTCATACCGGATCACATGAAATAGATGACAAATGGCGTTATTCACAAATTTTGTAGTTGTAGAGACGGTGTCGTCTGATTTAAGCAATTTACCAGTGATGTGCAAGTAACTT